CCCCCCCCCCCCCCCCCCTCCTGCCTGCCCCCAATAATGATTCCAGCAGTTATTCTCATACTTGCTTCATGAGAGTCTTCCCCGCAATTAACGGCGCCCAGCAACATCCGTTCCCCCTCCCCCCACACACACTCTCGTGATTGTTGTTGACATGAAAAACAGAAGCGCCCGTGAGAACCGAACCGCACGGGCCTCCCGACGAAGCCCTCAAGCCCCCGCCGGGAGTTGTTCCGGGGCAGCCGGAGGCGGGGTTGAGGGGGAAATTGGAAGGACCCGGTGCCTTGGGCCTTGATTCGGAGACGCTTGCAGCCCAGATTGTTGACCTGTGCGTGAGCGGTGAAGGTAGCTCGGCTGCAGGATCTGGGGTGAGCGAGCGATGGTGTTGTCCTGTGGGCGCACAGGCACAGTGGGGGTGCGCATGTTTTGCATGCCTTAGCGGGTGGACCATTGACATCGCGTCCTCGGCGCAGTTGCAAACGTCGAAGTGTACATGGTTTCCGGTAGTATATGGCGTGTTAACGGGGGGGGGGGGGGGCAGTTTCTTGCTTTCATGCATCGGTGGCCGATAACGATGGTTTTCAGTAGTATTTGGCGGTGTTGACGAAGACTCTCTTTATGTCAAGTACCAAGGAAGAGATTTTATTCGTCGCCTGGCTGTCTGACTCCCCCTCGTGTCGTGAATCAGTCGATCGCGCTTCCTTCGGATTGCTTTCATTGGATCCCTTCAGTATATGTCTCCATTTGGAGGGTGGACGGAACCCATTGTTGTTGGTGCTTCACAGTGAAAGAAATGCACTAAGGGCGCAGGAGGTAATCCCGCCCCCCTCAACCGTGACAAACGAGCCTGGTCGGCGACGACAAGCCGAAGTACCCACCATCCGGAAGGCATTGTAGGGAGGTTTGCGAGAGTTCTGTTGTCGAAAACGCTTGTGGCGCTCAAGTTCTGGAGAGCTAGCTCCAACGTAGTCCATGCACAGAGTTAGCCCCCCCCCCCGCGCAGGGATGGTGACCAGCTCCTGGCTCATCCTTGTGAAACGTAGCCTGGGCCGGCGAAATCCCTCTGTCCCGGCGTTGTATACTAGGGATGCGAGGTCAATGGTCTAACGACGACGGCATGCGTTTACATGAGCCCCCCCCCTCCCCATCCCTGGAAGTAGGGAAGAATTATTGGCCATAGGTGATCGGTCTTGTGGGAACAATGCTCCGTCCTCTCTCGAGGATGCGTGGTCAATGGTCTAACCGCTAAGGCATGCAAAACATGAGCCCCCCCCCCCCCCCCCCCNCCCCCCCCCCCCCTGTGGCACCTTCTCGCACATGCGGCCGTAGGCTGCCTCCTCACGCGTACGCTCCCCAGGGGGAGCTAAGTTGTCGTCGTCGTCATCATCGTCCAGGGGAGGAAGGGCGGGCGGCGGCAGCGGGAACAAGGGCACAGCGGCGGCGGCGGCGGCGGCGGCGGCGACGACTAAGTGGCCGGGGGCTCCGATTCCTGCGGGGGCGGCGGGAGCGGCGCAGCGGAAGGCCAACAAGGAGTACAACAACCGCTTCCTGGTTATGGATAAGAGCATGAGCTGCCACCGGTGCCATCGCAGTAGGTACGGTGTTGGGTTAGGTTAGGGCTTTGGGTTGTAGTGTCGGGGATCATGGTTGATGTTGCGGTAGGTAGACCTGGAGCTGCTACTCTGTAGAGCATACGGCAACAGCTTCATGATTTTTTTTTTGTGTTTTTTTCTAATACAACCACGTAATTTTTTCTTCACAGGAGAAACAACACCAGTGCCTCTCTC